CTAAATAACCCCAGCTCCCTCAGTCGCTCCTTGTAAAGTCTGTGCTCCAGCCGCTTCACCAGCTTTGTTGCCCTTCTTTGGACACGCTACAGCACCTCAAATGTCTTTCTTGTAGTGGGAGGCCCAAAACTGAACACAGCATTCGAGGAGCGGCCTCACCAGCGCCGAGTATGGGGGAATGATCACTTCCCTGGTCCTGCTGGAACCTTGAGGCCTTATGTTCCCCAGCACTGAAGGTGGCCATTAAAGTTTGTTTATAAAGCAGTTGCTGGGCCTAACCAGATTTTGGAAAAGTGGTTCAGGCTCGAACATTACATCAGAAATAACCACCTAACTCTAACCACCTGATTTCAGACTTCGGTAAAATGTGGACTCACACATTAACATTTTGGTTTGGTCYGTCTCTAATTAGCCGGAAGAAATGTTATGGAAGAACTTTGTTTTTCACCTCACAAYGTGTTTCACTGCATAAAAACAGACTCAAGTTCCATTTGCCATTTGTATCTAACCTGTTCCTTATCTTATGGCAAATGTTTTTGCTCTAAGTGACATGGGAGCAGACTCCAGTACCTGTAAACAGTGGTGAGACTCAGAGATGGGTGACTGATGACCCTTCCTCCTTTCCTGCCATCATCTTGGTTGGTCATTAACACGCTCTACTCAAATGCAACATTTGTTTCTTGGACCGTCACATGTTTTAAGAAAGGTTTATACCCAAGGGATACTGTATTGGATTCCAACAGGTTACTTCATTAAATGAGCCTATCAAATGTGATTGGAAGTTCTCATCAGCTTTCTGTTCCATTTAATTTTATTTTTATACAGATGAAGAAATTTCTGTTACACCCATACCCACTGACAAGCCAACTACATTACTTCACATCTACTTTATAACCACATATAATTACATAACCGCTCAGTTTATTTTCTTCCAGAACTCATGGCTCCTCATAGAATCTGTTCTGTCTGRTCTAAGAGGCAGATTTTGGCCTAAAAAATGGTTTTCAAGACATTTACATGGTTTGGATTTTTTTCCTATATTAAATATTCCACATTTATTAACCACAGTTCAATTCAAGCACAGCAGCAAGGGCTTCACTGATACAGCCTGGAGAGGCTGTGTTAATGATGCGAAAAGATAAATCCCAAAGCAAGATATTCTGCATAAATAGTTTACTTTCACTTGGGTGTAGCTCTTCGAGAACATCCCATTATCATGGGACAGCTCCCACTTTTTTCAGCCCCACACTATAAAAACTCTCTGAGTACAGTGTGTTCCCTCCACTTGGTGCTTCCTTATTAATCTATGCAACCAGGATTCTAGCTAAAGTGTCCCATCAACATTGCTCCTCAAACCATCTCAAAATTCATTGATTTCAGGAATAACGCATTCAGAAYTGCAAGGCATTCTCATCTGCAAAAAGTCTGTGAGGGCCACCTTTCACAAAGATGGGGCTGGCAGATTACATTCATGTCAAAAGCATGTAATTATAGTCATATAACTAAAAATAGAATGAAAATTAGTATCTGACAATGTTTGCAGGACCACATTTTATGYTAGTATAAACTCACTGAAATCAATTAAGACAGACCACTATAAGTCTGGAGTATAACTGTGGTTAAATGACCCCGAAGATTGTTTTTATGCTCATCCCAAGTTGCATTCTTAAACACATATTCACAGACCACGGGGGCCATTTGTTATAATTTATCACAATAACACTAAACAGTTTGGCATAAACATATCCTTTCTCCCGTGCCAAGAAATGCTATGCACCCTTTAGATCTTCGAGAAGCCACCAGGAGCAGCAGATGTTCTGCCCTTCTTGTGAGCAGCCTCAATGTGGAAGCATTTTCATGGATGATTTTATCAACTTCTAAGAGTCGATAAAAGTTATATCCTGCAGCCCTTCCTCCTGTGAGTTTTATTTATTCTTCACATGGCTGGAGCTGCAGGTCTAGTAAAGCAAAGCTCCTTGATTCTTATTTGCTTAGATAATGCGACTGTATATCGCAGAGCACACTAAGAGAGGCTTGCAATAAACTGCGGAATATTGTTTCCTGTCGAAGGAAACCACTTCCATGCGGCTACAGGTCTGCTGTTAGCAAACCAAAATAACTGTGGTGGTAGCGAACCAGCATTTCTCACATGCACATTGTCAGGGACAGAAATAATGCCTGGGTCGGGCCACGATGCTTGTGGAGTCTCAGGATGGCCTAGATGGGAAGGGGCGATACTCCCTTAATACTCTCTTTTAAGTATCTCCAAGGAGGGAGATGCCAAAAGCACTGGACAACCAGTTCCAGCACTTGGCCACCCTGGCTGCAAAAGTCACCATTTCCCACATTCCAGCTTGTCCTTCCCATCCAAAACACAACCTCATCCTGTACACCAGCCAATACAGGGTGCAAAATCAACAGTTCCACTGAACTCTGCTGAAGGATGTCATGGTGTGGGACCCAAACAGCAGACTCAGATCACCTTCACACCTCTCACCGCACTGCAGAAACAAGGAACAAGCTGTTTTGAGACCCACTGGATCTGGGTTTCAACCCATTACTGAAGATAAAAGCCGTCATCTGCAGCCATGTAACAGCAGGCAAGGAAGCCCTGGATAAGTAGTAAATGATTTGGATGACGGCCGTATGGGATCCTGGGTTTGCAGGGGACACTGCTGTTCCCAACAGACAGAGCCATTTCTTTTCTGTAAGCCAACAAATATTTTGCAGTCGCTCAGGGGAAACTTCAGGGCACTTCAGCCTTAGGGCAAAGTGATCCATTCTTACCCTAGATGGTTTTCTTAATCTCGGTCTACGCCATACCATGTCAAGGTCGCATACACAATAAAATGCTTTGCACTGAATTGGCCGAGAGTAAGGAATCTGCTACTTCATAAAAGTACTGCCATAGGAAAGCAACACCAGCATATAATTGAAATAATTTATTTACCACTAGAGCACCACAAAAACAGACATACAATGTGTTAAAATACAGAGTAATCGATCACCAAAGTACAACACAGCTGTCCTTATGGTTTTTTTTTTCCTTTAACCCATGCCAACGATACAATTGTATTGTTAAACACACACAAAAAATGCTGTTCCAACCCACTCAGCTAAGTGCTAAGATTCCCCCTCAGCCCTACCCAACCCTGCTGTGTCCAAATTTTCAAGGGGATGCACAATTCCTGCCAAGTGTTGGGTATCCCCAGGTCTCAGTGACTTTGCTGAGAGATGGTGGTAATTATCTCTTCCTAGGAGAGCCTCTGGTACAAGGTCTTTGAGCTGTTGAACTCCCAGCAATATGTGACTTGGGGGATACACATCAGATCAGAGGTGCTTAGGCCACACAACATCCGCCCCCTGTAGAAGGGAATTTCATCTAGGAGCTTTGCACGCTGTAGGATCAGGCCTAGCATCCTTGATAACTAAGGGAAATATATGTCTAATAACCCCCTCCTCCCTCCAGGTTGTTCGAGCTTTATAATAAGAGCCTTTCAAACACTGTCAGTGCATTTCTAAAGAAAAAAAAAAAAGAAGTAAAACCAAAAATACATYTGATTCTGGGGTAATGACTTAAAGAAATAAAGCTTTATACTTAGATTTAGAGAGCAAAAACTCCAAACCCAAGCTGAAATTTCTAGCTGCGTCCAGCGCATAGTGAGTACAGTTGGACAACCATGGTGTCATGTATTCAGCAAGCATCAGAATTTGCTTTGAGCTACATTTGCATGGTAGAGATTGGCAAAAATGTCTTTAAAAAGTTTTCAAAATGTGTTCATTTTGGCTCCCTTTCCTGCCCAWCAAAAATACAGTTCTCATACTGAACCTGATAAAACTACTTTTGCTGTTTTGTGCAGCAAAATCCAGAGTATTTACTACCCTGAGGAGTTTCACTGAGTTCAGTGCATCTTCTCGTTGGAGTAAATCTGGCTCACGCAAGTGTTAGCAGGACAGATTTTTCACTTGTTAATCGTAACTCACTACATAAATCAAAAGTCTAACATACCTCCTCCTCTGCGCTGAGTCAATGCGTGGGATTAGATMATCTGTGGGGCTACATTTCCATGTAGGCAACAAGCATAGGCTCTACTGAAGTCCAGAGGAGCAAGCCGCTGCTGCACTTCAGTTTTACATCAGTGTTCTGCTGAAGTTAAAGAAATTGCACTTCTTAAAAGTGAAAGCTCAGGAGCATCTTCGTGATAGCACTTAGATCAAYGACAGAGAATGTCCTTCTCATCCATGAAGTTTGTTTCTAGCACAGGCTGGAGCTTTGCCATGCAAAACCATTTATCATGTGAAATGAACTGAGCGTCTCATCTTCAAGATTTGTTTGCTCATCTAGTTCGGGGATTTTTTTACATTAAATGAATGATGGAATATTTTTGAACAAGTATGAAAATAAGAAGATCATCCTAGGAATCTGTTTGATTTTCCTTAAAAAAAAAGCTTTTTATGTAAATTCAATTAAAAAAAAAAAAAACGTTGGACCAAGCTCACAAAATCAAGGGGCAGATCCTGCAATTCCTTCCACGCACCGCAGCCCTCAGGGGCCTGCCGTGCCCTTGGAGAAGTTAAAGACAAACCTCCTAGCTGCAAGAGGAGCAGGATGGGGAAAGTCCCCGCCGCGTGACAGGCCAGCACGGGGACTCGGTCCCCACTCAGGCCCTGCTCCGAGGGCACCGCTGAGGCCTCCGCTTTGTCCCAGCCTTCTGCACAGTGGTGAATGTCATTCTCTGTAAGGGTTTGCCTCGCCTCGGCCAGGCTGGCACATTTTCTCGGAAAACCTTGCTCCCTGACCATCTGTTTAAATGTCTATAGCCAAAGAAAAAAAATATAAAATTAAAAATTAAAAAGGCGTAGAAGTCTGAATCACACTGCGATTCAAACGTTACACGTGGGGATGAACTAGGAGTGAGGGAAGGAGGGAAGGAGAGATGACTTTAATCCATCCTTTTTATAAAACAGAAAACAAATGGAGTCAGGTAGCTTATGTCATAATGATGAACAATATACAGAGCACATGTATAGCAATTATTATAAAACATGTATTTGTAGTGCAAGTCAAAATATAGGGACTCTACTCATACTGGCCAGCTAGAGGGAAACACATGATTCTGAGTGATCAAAAAGAGCCCCAAATTCAAATTCAAACTCATGAGAGCTGACAGTATTACAGAGTACAAAAATATGGTGAAAATTTACACATTACACATAAAGTACTTAATTTTTTAATAGTTTACAAATAGAGATCTACAGATATGTTTCCAATTAAGCTGGCTTTTACTACCCACCTATTGTAATACTCTAGGTATGGTTACATATACCAAAAGAACAAAAAATCCCATAGCATAGCTATACAGCAACATATTAAGGTCTGAAGATTAGACCAGTACATGTTAAATATTTCACTGGTTTACTAAACTGACATTTTAAATCATTTACAGTAAAAAAAAAAATCTTATAGACTTGTCTTTGAGACTGAAACAGAGTGTCCTTTATTAGTAAGTTATTCAGTATTTAAAACAAGGGTTTGAGACCTTACAAGAAGCCTCCCTAGGCAGCCGGCATGAAAAAAAAAGGTATTTTAAAGGCAGAGTTTCTCAACAATGTCATAACTGAATTCTATTTAAATTGAACTAAACTAGCCATTACTTTTCAGAATCTTTTGAGCTTGAGTTCCTTTAGGCTTTATATGCATTTCTGGCAGCTTATTTGGTCTCCACTTTGTCCACATTTGCTGGTTTTCTTTTTTTTCCAAATGGTGATATGGAAATGTTCGTTTGATAGTTTTTACATACAAATAAATAATGCACTGTTAACTCTAAAACTAAGAGGAATGGGTAGGATGCCTATTGCGTACAATACAGAGAGATCAAGTAAGGCACGGGACAGATACAGCAACTCCACTTCATGGGATTTTCCTGTTTTTTTCCTTTCACATAGTAACACTAACAAATTTCTTCCAGTGTTTATTTTTTAAAAGGCGTTTTTTTTCCTTTAACTTTGCTTCTTGTCTATCTCACAATATGTGTAGGTGAAATATAGGATAAAGGCCTTCAATGTTTTGCTTCAGATGCCAGTTTAAAAAAAAAAATAAAACAAACTTTCAAACAGTTCAGACTAGTACCGCTTTTTTTCTTCTTTTTTTTTTTTCTTTTAACACTGATGAACCTGGGTTTTCATTTGTCTTTCTCTCTCTCTCTCTTTCTCTCTCTTCCTTTTTTCCTTGGTATTTTTTTTTTAATACACACACGTCATGCTGTTTCGGGGCATTCTTTAGCTGCATTTGCAGGACTTGACGATCATGTTGGACAGCTGTTCGATTTTGGGCGTTTTGCCGATGTAGTACAGGATGGTGAGGGGCTCTAAATCCTGGGACACGCAGCACGGAGAGGCAGAAGCTTCGGGATTTATGGTGTTATACAAGCTGAGTACCTAAAAGGAGAGAGGAGAAAGGGGTGATTAAGCCAGTTATCCCTGCCTTCCTGACACTCTGCAAATCAAATTCCTTTCTGCTTCATTTCCTCTGATGGTGCCTGACAGGGAGCCCACTCAAATCAACAGGAAGATTCCTGGACGTAACATTTTAATGGGTTTCTCCAGTTCAATCTGTTGTCACCTCTGTGAGTTTCCCAAGCTTTTAACTTGACCGATCCCAGAGCTGGTACRTGCCTTGAGAAGATCGCCCTTTAAATTACCACATGCATTGTACTGATATTCCCATCTCAGGCAACACTGGGAGGGCTGCATTTATGTCTTCAGGCTACCATGTGCAGTGCCAGGATTTACAGGTGCATCAGAGCAGAGAGCCCATCAGTGTACAGACTCTCTGCTGTTTGTCCCATGCAGCTTTTTAGCAGGTCCATTAATGCCACCGTGCAAGACCCATGACTGCAGGAGCACTGGGTCACTGCGGTAGCATCACCAGCCCTGGAGCCTCCTCCACATCGGACTCAAATGCACGGTTCCCTGCACGGGAGGTATGTCGGCTGCCCGCTGATGATACATCGGTATTTCCGAGGATGCCGTTAATGTGCTAGCTAAACACCAAGCGACCTTTTCCTAGAGCTTCAAACACAACATTTACAGCTCAGGGAGACAGAAGATCTGTTCAGGACAGCAACACTACTGACTTTATTAAGCAACTTTTGACTCCTCGGCTAACTATCCAAACCACATATTTGTGATCATGACAGTTATTCTTCCTCTTTCCTTAAAAACAAGTGCTGCTCCAAACTATGCACACTATGAGAGCCCATCAGCAAGGGAACACACTTGCCACATTTATACCTGGGTCTGCTGACACTGCTAGTAGCGTAAAGACCCAGTTAGTGACAGCTACGAGGGCAATTTGCACTCAGCAGTTTAAGCTCAAGGCAAACACAGATCTAGACTACAACAGTTTCACATACCAAAGGGAGAGAAAATTGCTCCTTTGACATGAGGAGCTCTCACTGCTGGCTACTGTTGATCTGATATTTTAAAGTTCTTTTAATTGAAGAGCAGGAGGCATCACTATTAGTGTGAATCTGATGGTAAATGCCTCACTTGGTGGTAAACTGTCATGCCAATGTCTGTCCCTTAACATTTACTGTCTAGACAGCCTTATTGTCAGAGAGAAATAAGCACATAAAAACACCATTCCACTCATCCTAAGGTAGGTAACTAAAATCTCTAAAAAAAAAGGACATCATTTCAGATGGTCATTAGTTCATCACCATGCCAGACAAAGAGTCCCTGTTTTACTTACAAACTTTCAAAGTGTGAGAACTTCTGGAGTAAAGGCATAAATACATGTACTGGCACATTTTCACAAAATGGCAGTGATTCAGATCATTTCTTGGTCTGGTAGCAGAACAATAACAATGGAAATGAAGAACAGCAGATCACACAGGAGGTGATAATCAGGCGGTAAGATTCAGCCACTCAGTTACTCTGAGAGCGTCTCACTTGGTGCCTCTTGAAAGAATTCACTGTGCCATCTTTCACTTAGGCTCTTTAGTGAAAGGTCCCCTTTTCAGGCAGCCTTCCAAAGCTACACCCTGTTAATATTCAGAAACAGTATTTGATATATCCATGTGCCACAATGGTGAACACAAAAACAAATCTCTGGGACAATATATGCTTTGGCATTGGTACTGATGACAGTCCTAGAAACATATTTCACCCTACAGTTCAGAGCTTAAAATTACCAAAGTCGTTACTTACTCTGCTGTGCTGAGTATCTGAGCTCCATAAATATGGGCAGGCTCCTGCACAGAAATTAGCATGATACCCTTTAGGTTCATGAATCCATTTCCAGCCAAGATCCCTCTTGAAGTCAATATAAAGTGGACGCAGACAACAATTATCCTGCACATTCCTGGAAATAAAAGACAGGCAAAGGCRTAAGTCAGAAAAGTCTGTACAGGGGGCAGAAAACAATCCAGTTGCTTCCTCCCTGAAAGATGCTCTACATGCAGAAACTGGAATCAGAAATCTCTGATTCCCAGCAATTCACATCCAAGTAATTCACAACACTAGTAATAGCTTACAGTGTAACTGAAATCAGGTGCTTAGGCATGGTGGTGCTTGCTTACACCAAAGCTAATGGTGTGCTTGGAGATTCAGTACGCATTTTTCTCCAGATCTTCCTGAATGGCATATCTGAGTAGTTCAACATATTGAAGCCAACAATTTCCCTAGAATTATGGGCCTGATAAGCCTGGGAATCATCCCATATGGAGCTCAAGTTTCCTGCTTTCTAAGGCCACAAGGCACCTCATTTGCCATTAACTTCCTTGAGAGGGGAGAGTGCTTGGCAGATAATAAACACCTATCAAAAAGAAATGTCAGCTTATCTCATAAGCAACTACATTACACCTCAAAGGGACTTAGATTGGTATGACTATGTAGGCATATAGAACACAGATGTATAGTTACCTAAAGCAATAGGCAGCATCTAGAGCACGCTTCTTCCGCCGACTGGGCTGTTGCGACTCAAGTCTGTAGGAGGGTAACAACATTAGCAGAAGATGTGGGGTCTTCCCACTGTATTTTTTCCTATTGGACTTTAAAGCTTTCACATCACCACTGGAATATGTGTAGTCATCAATACCTTCAAAAAATACATTTTGGTGATAAACATTGTGTTGCTTTTTCTTAACAAATTAAATAAACTATCTCTTTAAAAAATTCTCTCAGAAACTGGGCAATGACGGCATCAGCTGAACGTGCTTATTGGCAAAGTGACAGCATTAAGACTTTCACAGTTCTTATGTATCTAGCTTATCAGTCATCTCACATTCAGAGCCATCAGAATGGCTTTTCAGGACATTTATCCAAATGGTTGAAATGAATAACAGAAAAGACATTTGGAATATATAATTTTGCTAATTTCCCCCCAGAAATCAGTTACTCTAGACCTTTCTTTTGCATGCATACAGCAGGGACACTGATCAAAGCATTTCTTTGTGAAGTAGAAATCAGTAACCTCACATTTCATATTTTCTCTCTTGAAACACTAACTGCTTTACTAGCTTCTTATCTTGGCCAAGCACAGGCAAAGAACCCAAGGTGTTAGCCTTTTGTAGCAGTTTAAAYAGTGAGTATTATGCTTTTGGCTAAGTACCTTTGGAAAATTAACCTCCTCAAGCAGATAATACTATCTAAAAAGATAGACTTTTCATTTTGTAACACACAATTACAGTAATCACATGTCATAACTGCAGTTTTTAAATTCACAGTAAATATACACAGTGGCCTTAGGTGTATGTGTATATATATACATATAATATAATATAATTTTATATTATATATATAAATATATATATATAATATATATAAATTTATATATATATTATATATATATAATTTTATATATATTTATGATATGATATGATATGATATGATATGATATGATATATATATTTTTCCTCATATATATATATATATGAGGAAAAAAAATTCAACACAGTAAAACAATGGTAAAAAAAATATACTTGAGACAGAATACAGCCAAATCTTTGAAAAACAAATAAACGAGCCAAATCATGATATACTTGAGTAAATGAGAATTTCACAAGCAGACTTTGGGTTGGTTCTCATACGGCTATATTGCGTATGTCATGGTAATGATTCCACAATCAATGCCAATTAGAGTAACAATTCCTTTCTTGGAACTGAAACTTGGTTTACAAATACAAGGAAGGGTATGTGATCTTGATATACTTGCGCTATCTCATTTTGCTGTCCATAAGAAGCACACATCCATAGCTCTAACTACCAAACATTACTATTATTTTATAGCCTCAACAAGCTGAATTTTGTTTTAAAGAGCTCTTTATTTCTCTCTGCAACTAGCAAGCATCGTAACATTTTAAGAAGTCTTTTTCTTTCATTACCTGCAAATCTTGCTTCAAGCTCTTCACTTTTATTTGGGATGATATAATTATTGGAAGGCACGAAGGTGCAGCATGGACAATGTAAACTTATCTTAAATCCAAGGTTCCTGTCTGCAAAACATGAAAGTAAGTGGAATTGATTTTCACATGTGCAGTGAATCTGAAATAATGCTGAATTTATGGAGAAGTTGGGTCAAGAGTGAGGGGTAAGAGCACTTGTTGTCACCTCTGTGATGGAGCCATTCGTGCACAGCCTCAGTGACATCGAAAGATAACCATTCTCCTTCAGCTCGTGTTTTAACTACTTTGCTGTCAATGTAGCGCTGTCCTGGTGATGATAATTCTTTGGATTTTATAACCTGTAAGAAACAACAATAGTGACTACCTTTAGACTAAAATTTTCCACGTTTTTAATCAAAATAGACAGGAAAAATCATGTAGAAAGACAGTACTGAAATCTTGCCTTGCAATATAAGTGGTAGGAGATCCCAACAGAACAGGACATTATTTTTTACCATCTTCAGTAATATTTACGCTGGCTAGAGCCTGTACAATATATTCTGGACACTGAAGATACTACATTGCTCAGCCATAACTAATCTGTGCACTGTTGCCTTACGAAGGGTCCCAGTTCTCCCTTTGATTTTAGTTACTGGTCACACATTAAACAGAAAAAAGAAGTATGGTTCATACAACCAACCTGGGAGCACGCAGAAACTCTGTGAAGTGTGAAACTTGGCCATACAGGGATTTGTGCAATAGATGACACTGTTTCTGTCCAGATTTTGATCTCATCTGGGTCAGTATTTGTGTCACAAGGTTTATCAAAGCTAGTGATGGAGTACGCCACAAAATTACCTTGAAGGAAAAAATAAAAAAGCCTCCTTGCTTTCAGGACAGAGCAGCATGTGCCTAAAAGGTCAAGTCTGCCTTATCTCTAAATGAGTGAGCAAGCACTTTCCCTACACAAGCATGGACTGCTATCATTTTCTCTAACTTTTGAAAGGAAACACTTGGGCTGTTGGCTGCTAACAGGTTTCTAGTTTCCTGGTTATTACTATGCTGATAGTTTTGTGATGCAGGGAGCCAGAATGCAGTGCAATGTGAAGTCAATTCTAATCAACATATGATAATACCACACTGAAACTTTGGGTATGTCAGCCATGTGACTTCCTACRTTGTTTTGGGTTCTTCCTTTATTTAACCATCCAGGTCTATCTGCAGATGAAAAATTGGCAGACATTTCTCATAGTCTCCTCTTATTTTCTCAAGCTGGACACACCTGACATCTAGCAAATTGTGTTGGTAAAAAAAAAAACAGCAAAAATGCACAAAATAAGTAAAGAAAAAAAAATCAAGAGGTGCGAAATTATGTCATCATGATAAAAATATGCTTTTCCAAAATGAAAAAGACAAAAAAGGCAACACTGAAACATGCGCAYTGTACCATCCCAACATGTAGCGTCTCCCTTTTTATTTCACTGGAGCGCTAGACCTCTCAAACGCTAACAGTGCATTTGCTGCAAATGATAACATTGGTCTGCTGACAGGAGCAGAGGTAGGAGAAGCTCTAGCTCTTTCTTCTGATCAAGGCATTTACAGTCGGAAGTGAAAAGACATGAGAAGATGCTGGTCCAAATCCAGAAAATCATGAAATGCCCTTAGGTAGAAATTGAGGGCATTCAAACATTTAACATTGGGGGGCCCCTTTTTTATAAGTCAACCTTCAAACAAAGTGTTTGAACAACTGTTTATACAGAGCCTGACAGCAGCAAGGAGGCTCTCATTGCTCTGAAGTGCCAGAGGGATAACAGAATCAGTAATCACTGCTGGGAAAGTCCCAGAGAAGCACAAATATAACTTTGCCTTCCCTTTGGTCTTTACTCAAGTGTTTTTGAGAACGTAACACAGCTGTCATTCTGCAGAGATATGTCTGAGGAAGGGAAAGAAAAAAGGCAAAGGAGACACAAGAATTTGGTTCTCCCATTCCTTTCTGCACAGTCATGTCTTTCCTAAGACTCCAAAAACTGCATAGCTCACCAGCAGGTTTGGCAGTGATGTAAGGATCTAAAAATAAGTAATGCGTTAAGAGYAACCTACTGTTAACTGTAATTGGTCTTCAGTATGTCATGAAGACTCAGCTGCACCTTGGAATCCAAAGGAGAATGTTCTTATCCCAATCCCACTCCCATGAAAAGACAAAGTCAGGAGCTGTCAGTATTGCAGGAAGCACACTTACAAAACTACGAGAGATGTTCACTACATATATTCAAAGGCAGTGAGAAAAACCATCCTGACCTATGAACTGAATGGTAAGAAATGCATTGGTGGGTTTCAAAAGAGCATGGCAGAATGTTCTGTAAGAAAATTATGCCAGAATGTGCTAAAGGGTCACAAACTAATTAYTGCTTAAATAATTTCCATGATCAGCATCATGGGTTTAGTAGTAGTACTATTAATCCTACGGTAAAAACTGTGAGAAGGGTCATATTTGGTGAGATTTTTAAAATCTGTTTCAATCTCTGCATTCTACATGATGATAAATGAAGCAATGTAGTTGTAAACTTCTGACTTGTGTTCACAAATAAAACATACTCTTCAAACGAGTGCCCCATAAATTATTGTATCATAAGCACTCGAGGTTTTCTCCGTCATCCCCCTGCTTTGGTTCATTACTTTGCACTTCACTGCTGATCACACTTGCTGCTTTAATAGCACATCCTTTTCTTCCAACATGCGCTCAAGCCCCTTCTTTTTGAGAAACCTCTCTTCCAGTACTTCTGACAYTCTTCCCACAAGATCAACTAGATTTGTTGCAAAAAAGAACAGCCTTTTGTATACCTTGCAGCTTTCGTGCTTGAAAGTCGTCTTCTTCCAACTAATCTGACTGGTCTCAGAAGAGATACTACCTTTAACTACAAACTTTGCCTTACCTATAAACATCACCTTGCCTTTGTACTTAGCCTATTGTAACCACATCAAACCCCACTATCAGATTTCCATTTTAATGCTCTATCAGCTTAAAATATTTTTGTATGACTTATATTTGCAGGAGCTAAATGAAAGACTAAGAAGTGAAGGTCTTTGTCCAAAAGAGTTTATCTGTAAAATCTAATTTACATTTTCAGTGCACTAAAAGCATTAAAGAAGAATTAAAAAAAGAACATAGGAGGGAATAAAATGTAAAATCTGCATGTAAAAGAGATTGTGAGTTAAAGTTCCACTTTATCCTCTATCAATTTCCTCTTGCAGCTTGTCTAAACACTCCTTCTTAAAAAGACATAAAGAGTTTGAAATCTCTTTGAATCACAACCAGAATTGCTAGTATTTTTTCTTGCCTTTAGTGCATCACCACCTGCATGTAGAAATGCCAGATTCAATCACTTGCATGAGTAGGAGACAGAAATTCCACTCACAGAGACAGCCTCATCCCCCTCATTGACTCGTRGCACATTTGAACATCTGCATGCATCAGCAGCTGACAATGTGCAAAAAATGCACATATGCAGGTGGGAGCTTGCACACCTTTACACATGCATGAGCAAAAGCTCAAGACCAAAACATTCAAAATTTGGGTAGTGCAAAATCTCTCCAACTTTTAAATGTGGGTTTATCTTCTCAGTAGATCTGTTTGTTTGGTGCTGTTTTCAGCAGAAGGATAATGCAGCTCTGCCATTTTTAGAAAAAGGATTCCACGGGGAATAATATATGCCTATGAACACWTGATGTGGGCATTAGCTGATAAGGTGGACATGTTAAGAAAAGTTTATCCAGCAAACTCCTGGCCCAGGTTGCACAGGAATTTTCCTTCAGTAGCACTGCTTTAAATTTTAAAAACATCATTTTTTTTGTGTCTGCCCTCTTTTAGTATGCGATTCCTCCCTACCTCATGAAAGCAAATTCATAGCCACAGTATCCTGTATACTTGCCTTGTATATATATCATTTCTTCAGAAGAGCCTTGCCTTCTACAGATCACTTCCTATGGCACTGCTAATCCTTCTCATTTTTTTCTATTCTTTTTTTCAAACACATGAAAAAGAATTTTAAAAATACCCATGATATCTAGATATCCCATTCATAAAGACACTATCAGCACTATAACAACACAAAAACAAACAACAAACACACAAATAAGTGGATTATCTAAATGAATAAAGCAGATAATTGTTGGAAATGACTGAGGAAGCAGCATAGACAGATGCAAATGAAGAACTGCTCCTGTTTATCCATCATATGTGTAGGAAGCCCCCTCRGTGTTCTCAGTGACAAGAAGATTTACACGTCACCTATATCAAGRCTACCAGATTTCCGGTCTTTATATTCACCCTGTTGAAATCTTCTACTCACTAGCTCTATAAAGGCACTCTGTCCAATCCTGCCTTTTAAAGGGAAGACTCTCTGCTCTGCTGATTCATTTGTCCGTAATGACGAGACTTGACCCTCGTGCTACCTTGCAAGCACATCCTGAATCACCACGATCTGTGCAATTAGAAGTGAAATGACTGAGCTCCATCTCAAACTGGCTGCAGAAGAATAACAAATGAGTTTCCTGAAAGGGCTGATCTCTAAAATAATTCTGCCAACAGTGCTTTTTATTTGGCAGCTCAACAGGAGTGCCTTAACATATGTATTTTTTAAATTTAAGTATAAAAAATAAAAATAAGGAAAATGATTGTCTTTGTATCTTATAAACTGTACAGTGACAGCACTGTATAAATCAAACTGACAAAAAAAAGTGTTTGAAAAAATAGGAGAAATGTCTTCTTTAAAAAAAAAAAAATGAGGCAATTTGGAGGCTGCTAAAAATCTGAGTACTAGTATTTCCTGTCAATGTAATTATAGCAGTTGAAAAACAAAAACAAGAACAGAAGAAAAAACTCCAAGATCCAAGATTCCACTAAGAGAAACAGATAAATATTTTGCTCAAATGTTTGTCTACTTCCTTTCTCATATATGTGTAAGCAGCTAAAGGAGGGGATAGCTGAACGAAAACATTAGTGTATGTATTCTAAACAATAACTACTGAAAGCAGTCTCCAGAGCAGCCTGCCTCTGTGACTCATGCCACACATCACAGGAAAGAGCTCCACAGAAGGACAACTGGTTCTTTCAAATAACCAGAGCTCCAGAAGAGCTTACTTTATTTCAGGCTTGGTGGCCTGACCTGTAAATACTCTTATTTTCCTAGAGATACCACAATAAGATGCCAGAGAGCACAAAAAAATACAATTCTGCAAAACTTACAGCGCAATAGTTCTGGCTAATAAAGTCATCACCTCCCAGAAACCAAACAAACACAATATTGACTGTGGCTCTGCAGTTCTGATAAACAGGCTGATGTGTCACTGACATTCATCT